AAAAGAAACAGGGAAATATATAAGTTTGCACAAAAGAAAATATTTCTTAGAAAATGCAAAGCTTGAGGACAAATACTACTTACCTCAATAAAATTTGCGTTTATGTAATCGGTTTCATTTGATAATTTTGAGAGAACTACGCGAGAATGGTCATCTGAAAAAGAAACGGTATCCAAACTAGAAACGATCTCGTTGCGAGCAACGAGAGGTCTTCCGTCCGATTCCAGCTGAAAATCTATTAAACATTTTTTTGGACACACTGTCATACTGTCAAACGGGTCACTAGCGTGAAAATCCGATACGCTTTTCGATTACACTATTTGAACAACTTCTCTAAATTCGCTTGTATAAACATGTAATTCTGCAAATCTGTCTTGGGATTATGAATGGAGGGTCACTATTCATAATTTCGCGCCAAACACCCTTGGAATGTTCTATTAAATAGGTGAGATGGTTGATTTTTTTTTATTTTTCCTGTTAATCACGAAAGTGAATTATTTCGATTACCTACACTTCATGAAAAAGGTGGTGTGTTTCACCGAAAAAAATGCCTCGATCGCCCTACGAGGGTCAAGGAATAAGATTCAATTATGTTCAATAACTTGCATTGAGAAAAAAATGTTTATATGAAGACAATTAAACTGTCTTTTAAAAATAGTTGTCCTTTTTTTTTTAAATTCTTATAATTGTAACAATTGTCTTTTCTATTCATTTAATTTGACACAAGTGTGCATGGGAAAACAGTGGTCACGTTTTATACTTACTATATATATATATATATATATATTGTATCTTGAAAAACTATTACTTATAACTACATGTACGATCTAAGCTATGTGTTTCCATGATGCAAAACAAAAGATAGTAGGTATTGTACATTTGCATATTAATTCTTTTCTATTTCTACTTTGATAAACAACTTAAACCAATAAAAATACGTGTAAGGAGGCCTCGAATTATAAATGTAGGTTGACACAGAATTGCAACGTACCTATGTCGTGACAATCCAAGTATTCCTTCATATTTCATTGCTCCTTATGTTACTTTCGTTCAAGCAAACGCTCGGCTGCCTCTGTAAACCCCTATTGCGAAATGTCGGAGTTGACAGAGTCCTCCGCCATTTTGGTCCCGCTTCAAATTTTTGATTGTTAATATCTCGAGTTTGGATTTCAATTTAAAAACAAATTATATATTCAGCCTAATTGAAAAGGTTTCTATTCACCATTTTAATATAATTCAAAAATATTGAAAAATAAAAAAGTTGAAAAATTCGACTTTTTAAATTCGCCTGCAGTAACGACAAGAAGTAGAGACGACGTACAAAAGATTGCGTCCTGGATAGTACTTATCACGATCTATAATCCCTGAAAGTTTTACAGTGATATCTTTTATCGTTCTTGAGATTGACCGCGGACAAAATGTCATTTTAAAATCAGAAAATTGTCCGTAACTTGGCACCAGGCATGAATTTCCAAAACATCTCTAAGAAATAACTTCAGATAACAACACATTGTTTCTGCAAATTTCATGAAAATCCATCTAGTAGTCTTCGAGAAATCGCGTGCACAAAATTAGATGTACGGAAAAATAATAATAATAAGAAACAGTAGAATCACTATAAGGTCTTCCGTGAAGACGGAAGACCTTAATGAATACAACACCCGTATCCTTCAGAAGAAGTTGGAATATGCAAGTTCAATACTCACAAGCATACGTCGTTTTGTAACGGTTTTTTGGCACATTTTCAGGCTTTTTGGCCTCTAGTGAAGGATAGATCTCGCCCTTCTTTATTTCCTGAAATGAATTCTCTTGTCAAAGTCTATATATAACATGAGACTCAGTACAGTAGATTTTTAACAGCACGAAAAATTGCTTTGAACATTAACATCTATAAAATAATGACAAAGGTAACATACCATATATTCATTTCCAAATCCAGCATTTTCACAAAGTGCCATTTTCTCTATAACGTTATGTAAATTTTTAATCAATATCACTTTCTTTGTGCGGGTCAATCCACCTCTTGGATCTCTTGCCTGTCCATTGTCCGATTGTTTTAAGGTTGATTCAACAACATTTGATGCATTGCTCGTTTTGGATAATTTGGAATCTGAAATATTTCTTTTTCAGTTATTAATTTCAGCCAAATGTTTGATTGAAATATTTTTTCTTCCATTCTTTGATACTTTATTCGTTCAAAATGCGTTTCATGCAATATGCTCTTTTAGTAAAATTTATTAGGATGACTATTAAAAGGAATGTTCAATATTTAAAAGATCTAAGAACTTTTCCTCACTTAGCTTCCCTGGTGACTGTTTAATATCCATTGTCTGAAGTATTGTCATTTCCTTACTTTCAAATAATACTTTTTCCTTTTGTGTTTTTGTTCTATATCTGAGTAAGAGATACAGATAAGTTACAATTCTTACATTTCTCAGCTATATGCTGTTCTTTACCCCAAGATTTCTTTTCTAATTTACCTGCTTAAATAACCTTACAAATCAAGCATTTGCAATTTAGAGCATTAGAAATGATTAGACAAAAATTTCATATTTATTGTATATGATCAAATTGTAAGTTTGTAATTCCTTGAAAAGTCTTGTCTCACCTTAAAAATAGTGTCAATGAAACCAAAATTATGGCGAGGAATAAACTTGCTCCAACACTCAATCCAACAGTAAGAGAATCTTCTGCACTTTCAACTTTCAAGTAATTGACTTTCAAAAAAGATTTATGTTAAAACTTTTAGAATTAAAATTCATTTTTTCAACGTTTTACATTGAACTTATTTTGCTCTTGAGTTATAAATATGTCATATGCCAGTCATGAACCAGCAAAGTTTGAAAAGAATTCTCTTTTCAGAAAATATTCTAAATATTCGACTATCGCTCAAATAATACAATTGAATAATCGACGAAGAAACATAATTTTTTTGACACATTCTCATCTATCTAATTCATCTATATCTTAAAAAAAAAACCAAAAACTTTGCACGAAATGAAAACTACAAAGAAGCGAAAAAGAGAAACCCCACCTTGAATGTCAAAATAGTTGGTTCGCCAAGGAAGGTCACGAGGAAATCTTTTACAACATAAAGTCCATTCAAAAGTAAATTTAATTCAAAGGTCGAGGTAAAAAACTTTATGACATCTCCATTACGTGGCATAACAATATCTTTTAAAATCATGTTAGCCAATTGTAAAAGCTAAATGCTAAAATCTTTTAAAAACAAACAACACAGGATACGTCTTAATTAAATGCAAGGCTGCCATTAGTAAAAGAACAATCGCTAAATATTAATTCACTCCTCTATTTTATTTTCATTTACTATAATTATGACATTTTTTGAAATATTTACATTTACCTTGTTTACATTCCGGAGACTTTGACAGTTGTGGTTTGCAATTACAGGTACCATTGATATGATTACAGATATCAGAGCAGTTCTGGGAGCAGGTATTTGAGCAATTTGCACCATCTGGGCATTCTAAAAAATATGACATTTCAGGTATTATCAGAATTACTAGTATCTATGGCACACTTTCTAGTGATGTAGCCTAGTTTTTAGTGGCATAGGGAACTCTTACATTTAGTTAGAAATATCGGATTATTTTTCCTTGAAAGGGTTGAATAGATGGAGATATTCACTCCCATCTAATATACTTTCTTTTTCCCCTAAAGCATAGATGTATCTAATAAGACTTACCTAAATTACACCGTGTCCCCTTAAATCCCTTTGAACAACCATTTACACAGATCCCTGTCACACGGTCACACGGGCCATTGTTTATACAGTGTTGACTACATTGGTACTTACAATTTGCTCCATATGTCTTTTCTGTACAAACTGTTGTACAATGAAAGAAAAGCATATTACAATGAGAAAAAAGATAAGAAATCTGTTTAATAAGATCACAGTACCAAAGTAAGATTACAGCCAAGGTAGATGTTGGCGTCAAAGCAAATCTGAAATGGGTTTTCTTATCGATAAAATAAAAATTATCACCTAATTGCAGCTTTAGTTACTTGAGAACTTATTCCTGAAAGAACAAATCTGTGAGGTTACGTATCCAAGTGTCATACAATCCACTTAAACATGTCTGAAAAAGTCTTCAAAATCCTCACCATCCAACAAGCTCAAATAACACAAAATATACAGATCTATGTATATTACATCACTTAAAAATTAAATAAGATACCTCCAGAACATTGAGGGCCTTTCCATCCTGGTTCACACCCATAATGGCAGCTGCCGGATATATGATCACAAGATTGATTCACACATTTCTCACATCTCAAGGAGCAGTTCTGACCATACTATCCGCTGTTGCAAACTATTTTTAAAATCTAATTAATTAACTAACAAAAAAGCTCCCAAATATTTTAACTTCTAAAATGATAGTTTATAAGGCTTAATGCAATTAATCATTGTACAAACAATTATACATACATTGCTCACAAGTTGGACCTTGGTACCCGCTGATGCACCCAAAGTTGCAGTTAACGTTCCCATTGATATTATGACAGGTTTTTCCGAGACAGGAAGAGCTGCATTGTTTCAAACAGCTGTGTCCGAAGAATCCGTGGCTACAAACTGAAATATGTTGTAAAACTTAGTTCAAGGAAACCAAATTCGTTTCTTATAAAAAAATTTCTTTAAACGTAATAAATATTCTAAGAGAATTGTTGTAATCGTAAATCAAAGACACAGTAACAAAATCAAAAAAAGTTATTTAAGAATCGCTTTTTGGAAACCCGTAACCGTTCATCTAGTTCATCAAGAAGATACTGTAAGATATACATTATTTATCCCAGGATGCATTGCTGTGTCCTTGACAAGTCAAAAGATTGTCTCGGGATGTTATTAAAAAAGGATTACCTTTTTAGCAAAAAATTATTGCGAGACGCAAATTTAGTGATTTGTTATGAAAAAAGTATTTTATTTTTGGTGAGAAGTTATAGATTTTAGCTCTCCCAAATCTTAGCACCTTTGCTTAAGATGCCAAAATAAAATTATCTGCTTACACGGTATTTGGTAAATGTTTAAACTTTACAAAAAGTAATATTGATATTTAAAAAAAAAACAATATCACTAAATATCACTCTTCAAATAAATAACAGAACTTTTACACAAATATTATTAATTTGTTTCTCAGCAACCCTTGCTGTTGCATCCAGGATTCAAATGTAACATTTAGTCATATTTATTGATAAGTAATAAAAATGATATTCGTAAAAGACAAATAATTTCCATAAAAAAAATCAATCTTGAAACCTTTATTGCAACGTTCTCCCTGGAATCCAGGTTTACACCCTCTGTCACATTTTCCTGTTGTTCTATTGCATATTGAATCATTAAGGCACTGACCACTACAATTGTTTTTACAATCCGAACCAAAGGTTCCAGGAAATGATAACAGATAGTTAACTTTCTATGATTATAATTTCCTCTTTGAAAAATGATATATTTTCCATATGGAAATTTTGATAATTGAAAATTTATTCATTTAATATATGTCTGTAGCTAAGCTTACTTTTGTTACAAAACACGCCCATCCATCCGTCTGAACAACCATTCAAGCAGGTACCATTTATGGGATTGCAAGTGAGATTATGTTTACAACGTCCAGAACAAGATAACGAACAATCAGGACCATACTTTCCATTTGAACAGGCTTCAGAAGAAAAGAGTTGCACATTTATCATACTTTTTACGGTATTAATATGGACTGTTATCAAATACATTAGACAAATACATTGGTAATATCCTAAAAAATTGTTCCTATAAAACTAAAATTCTAACATTTTTAATGTTTTACTGATCGATCTTAAAGAAATAGATGTTTGACCGATGAGTGATATGTAGGACCTGTCGATGAGATATCAATGTTGCCATAACAAAAAATACTATACTGTATACAGGGTTATTTTCGCCCTTTTGCACTTGCGAACTATTTTGCCCCGCTTTAAACTCGCCCAATCATAGTTATGTTTAAAAAATAATGCTGTAAAATTAAAATTCGCACCGTTTTAAATTCGCCCAATCAGAAAAAGGGCGAAAGGGGCGAAAATAAACCGGGGGCGAAAATTTCCCTGTATACAGTAGTTAAATAGTTTACTATAGTTACATTTGTAACTATAGTGATAGGTTTGACACTATGAAAACTTTGATTTACCATAGTGAAGACTTTGACACTTTGATTTACTATGGTGATTACTTTGACACTTTGATTTACTATAGTGATAACTACAAACAAGAGGCCCAGGGGCCACAGCGCTCACCTGAGCACATCGGGCTTGAATTAACTCCCCCCCCTCCAGGCATTCATCATTTGAACAAACTAGAATCTACACTACCTGATGATGATTCCATATAAATATCACTAATCATAGCTTTGAAGTACTTGAAAAGAAGATTTTAAAAGGTTTCCCTATATATCCCTATGTAAAACTTGGGTCGGCCATTTTGGCCCCACCCTAGCCCTGGGGGTCATGATTTGAACAAATTTGAATCTACACTACCTGAGGATGATTCCACATGAGTTTCATCTTTCCTGGCCCAGTGGTTCTTGAGAAGATTTTTAAAGATATTTCCTATATATTCCTATGTAAAACTTGGGTCGGCCATTTTGGCCCCACCCTAGCCCCGGGGGTCATGATTTGAACAAACTTGAATTTACACTACCTGAGGATGATTCCACATGAGTTTCATCTTTCCTGGCCCAGAGGTTCTGGAGAAGAAGATTTTTAAAGATATTTCCTATATATTCCTATGTAGAACTTGGTTCGGCCATTTTGGCCCCACCCTTGCCCCGGGGGTCATGATTTGAACAAACTTGAATCTACACTACCTGAGGATGATTCCACATGAGTTTCATCTGTCCTGGCCCAGTGGTTCTTGAGAAGAAGATTTTTTAGGATATTTCCTATAAATTCCTATGTAAAACTTGGGTCAGCCATTTTGGCCCCACCCTTGCCCCGGGGGTCATGATTTGAACAAACTTGAATCTACACTACCTGAGGATGATTCTACATGAGTTTCATCTTTCCTGGCCCAGTGGTTCTGGAGAAGAAGATTTTTAAAGATTTTTCCTATATATTCCTACGTAAAACTAGGGTCGGCCATTTTGGCTCCACCCTTGCCCCGGGGGTCATGATTTGAACAAACTTGAATCTACACTACCTGAGGATGATTCCACATAAGTTTCATCTTTCCTGGCCCAGTGGTTCTGGAGAAGAAGATTTTTAAAGATTTTATTTATATATTCCTATGTAAAACTAGGGTCGGCCATTTTGGCTCCACCCTAGCCCCGGGGGTCATGATTTGAACAAACTTGAATCTACACTACCTGAGGATGATTCCACATGAGTTTCATCTTTCCTGGCCCAGTGGTTCTGGAGAAGAAGATTTTTAAAGATTTTTCCTATATATTCCTATGTAAAACTTGGGTCGGCCATTTTGGCCCCACCTTTGCCCCGGGGGTCATGATTTGAACAAACTTGAATCTACACTACCTGAGGATGCTTCCACATGAGTTTCATCTTTCCTGGCCCAGCGGTTCTGGAGAAGAAGATTTTTTAAAAATGCCATTAATTTTTAACAAATTTATGATTATCTCCCCTTGGAAAAGGGCGTGGCCCTTCATTTGAACAAACTTAAATCCCCTTCACCCAAGAATACTTTGTACCAAGTTTGGTTGAAATTGGCCCAGTGGTTCTTGAGAAGAAGATGAAAATGTGAAAAGTTTACGACGACAACAACGACAACGACGACGACGACAACGACGACAGACAACGGACAAATTTTGATCAGAAAAGCTCACTTGAGCCTTCGGCTCAGGTGAGCTAAAAAGCTTGATCTACTATGATGATCACTATGAAAACTTTGATTTACTATGGAAAATCTTTCATGTTCAACAATGATCACTTTGAACACTTTGATTTACAATAGTGATCACTTTGACACCATAGTGAACACAGAAAACTTTGATTTACTACAGTGATAACTTAGACACTATGATTTACTATAGTTTACTACAGTAAACTATATAGTAAACTATAGATAGCTATAGTATTTTTTGCTAGTGCATGCATACCATACATCACACAATGGACGGGGCTAAATCTCATTTGCAATGGTTGGTGTTCGACAGTGACGGAATAGACCGAATTTATCTTAATAAGTTTACATGGCTAAAGAATGTACTTAATAAAATATCCATGAACATTTATAAAATGAAAGGTTTAACAAACATTATTACTTGTAGTCTTGGGAAAAATGTGTATCGTCAACACTCGAAGCTAATTTGCCTTTACATGTAACCTGTCGACATCCGACAAAAGGTTCGACAAAACGTATGTTGTCCTTAAATCCAATTTAATAAATATATAGTATTGCAACCACCTTAGACATAATTGAATATCAAACTTGAAAGTTTTCTCTTTCTTTTTTTTATCCAACTGCATGCATTATATAAAATAATTCAATCAATTTAATTTTCACGTGACTTTTGTTTAAATTAAATATTGCGTTGAATTTTTTATATATGAAAATTAAATAATATTTTTATCATAAGTGGAAAAAACAAGAAGGAATACCTTGGCTACAATTAATACCAGTCCAACCACTTGTACATCCAAGACATGTCCCATTTGTTACGAAACATTGGTCGTTTTTACAGTGCTGAGGACACGAAATATTGCATTTTTCACCGTGAAAACCACTCCGTTCACAACCTAACGATAGAACGTTGTTTTTTTAAAATTATGATGACTATAAATTAATATTTAAAGTAAAGCAACTTTTTTTCCCATAACTCTGCTTAAAATCAAATGCTACCGACCTTAAGTGCAATTTCTATTTGGATTCGAATGAGATAATAAACAAGAGGCCCATGGGCCTTAAAGGTCACGTGAGCATTATTCAACAACTTTCCAGTGATTGAATTTAATCCATGTTTTAAGCCAGCATTTACAATTTGGTCATCATAACTATACACTTAGCAGTTCCTTAGTTTGGTTACTTAATACCCATAGGCAGGGTAGGGGAACAAAAAAATGCATTTCAACAAATCAGTAATATTCAGCAATAATCAGTAGTTCCGCTACCACACATGAACCCTTGACTCTTAGGCCTAGATCCAAACATTGCGCATTTTTTGGAAAGGCATCCTTGCTTCAAAATATTTGATTAATACCAAGAAGCACATTTCAAACAATTCAAGCATTATCAGTATACAAGTCCGGCCCCCCCCCCCCCTCTGTGGTACAACTGACCCTGGGGCCTTGAAATTTACAATTCTTGAATATTAGGGCCC